GTCTCTTTTGAGATATAAAAGACAGAAGTGAGCAGAGAGACATGGAAACCTCATACCACCAAGAAAGCAGCGCCAGGAGCAGAGCGCGTCCTTTGGACCCGAGGCTCCTGCACTGAGATGCTCCCAGACCAAGGGAAGACTGATGAGAAGGCTGACAGAGACAGAAAGCCTTCCCCTGGAGGTGACGCCCTGAATTTGGACTTTTAGCCTACTTTACTGTGAGGAAATAAATTTGTTTGTTAAAGCCATCCACTTGTGGTATTTCTGTTATAGCAGCACTAGATGACTAAGACAACATCCGAGCAGCCCACAAACATATGAAAAGATGTTCACAATCATTAGCCATAAGAGAGATGCAAATCAAAACTCCAATGGGATACTATCTTATCACAGATAAAATGGCACTGATAAAAAAAGAAAAGAGAGAGAGATAACATCAAATGTTGGTGATGATGTGGGGACATTGGAACCCTTATCTATTGCTGGTAGGATTGTAAAATGGTACTATCACTGTGGAAAATGGTATGGCGCTTTCTCAAAAAATCGAGAAATAAAACTACCTTATGATCCAGCAATCCCACTCCTAGGTATATACGATAGAGACCTAAAAATAATGATATGAATGGACATATGCACAACTATGTTCATTGCTGCTTTATTCACAATAGCAAATAAATGGAAATAACCAAAGCGCCCATCAACAGATGAATGGATAAGCAAATTGTAGCATATAGATACAATGGAATACTATGCAACCATAAAGAACAATGATGAGTCTGTGAAACATATTACAACATGGATGGACCTGGAGGGCATAATGCTAAGTGAAATAAGTGACGCATATAAGGACAAATAGTGTATTATTCCACTTTTACAAGAAGACAAGAATAGATATAGAGAGAGAGACCAATGTTCATTAGTGGTTACCAGGGGACTGGGGGGAGGTGGCGTGGAGAGGGGAAAGTGCGCTTTGGATTGTACAGACTTGTTATTTTTGGTGATAGGAAAAGTGACACCAAATGTGGATGTAGTGAGCACAGCACAACCAAAGTAAAAACAAGTGTTTGAGCACATACGGATGGGTACATGCAAATGGGTATATGGGTAGGTATAGGTGTGTACATAGGTGAGAACAGATAGAGTATCTATAGGTATGTGTAAATAAAAATACGTGGGTGCAGGTACATATATTCCCTTGAAGACACAAATATGGATACTCAGATATAACCAAACACTTTCCAACACTGGTTTTCTGCGTTTGAAGGCTTAGGACCATAGTCTCATGGGATAACTCAGTCATTTGGCATAACACAGTTCACAAAAATCATGATCTGCACCCTAGCGAAGTGAGTAGCATCTGGGTCTTAAAGGCTTTCAAGAGGCCATCTAAGACACAACTACGGGTCTCTACTTGCCAGGAGCAAAACAGTAAGAAGGTAACCAAAAGTGTATAAAAGAAACAAGTCTACATGAGCCACAACCTTATCTACCCTGAGCCCAGAAAAACTAGATGGTGCCCAGCTACCACCAATGATCATTCTGAGCAGGGTCACAATAGTTGGTCCCAGATAGAATGGGAAAAAAATACAGAGCAGAGCTCAAATTCTTATTTAAAAAAAAAAAGCCAGACAAACCAGAACAGTAGAGAACAGAGGACTCCCTGAGACTATCACCCCGAGACACTCTTTAAACCTAGAATTCAGCCTATTCCCTGAGATCACCTTTAAGAGAAATAGTAGGGTGACGTATAAAATAAAGGATATTACCCGTAAGATTGGTGCCCTACTTAAAAACCATCAGTATGAGACCAAAAGGTCAACAATTACTCAAAAGCAAAGATGAGAAGATAAGGGGGCAGGGAAGCTAGAGTACTGGAAAGGGAACAAATGGAACACAGTTACAGAGAATGTTGACACATTGTGATAAATGTTACTAATGTCGCTGCACAATTTGTGTGGAAATTGTCAAACGGGAACCTAACTTGCTGTGAAAGCTTTCACCAAAAACTCAATAAGATATTATCAAAAACAAAAAACTGTAGGGAAGAACCAAATATGTTCTGACTTCTCAGTTTTAGTAAATGTAAATCTAATAGTAACAATTTTATAGGTTCCCACCTGCTACCTGGATTTTTGTTGCTGTTACTTGCCTAAATATCACTTGTTCTTTAAAAAAAATCCTGAGAGAAGGTCTACAGGGGTACAGTTTTACACTTACTGCACACTGGGGCCTTGTTTAACCCTCAAGCACATTGGAAAAAAGATTTTGTGAGGACAATGATCAGGATGGATTTGTGGGTTAAGATGCATATTAAGATGCCAGTTAACATTCCCTATATTTTCCTGGCCACATAACTGTAAGATTTAGAAAAGGTCAATTAACTACAGGCATACCTCAGAGATATTTCAGGTTCAGTTCCAAACCACCACAATAAAGCAAATATCGCAATAAAGAAAGTCACACTAATTTTTTGGTTTCCCAGTGCATATAAAAGTTAGGTTTACACTATACTGTAGTTTATTAAGTGTGCAATAGCATTTATGTCTAAAAAAATACACACTTTAATTAAAAAATACTTTGTTTCTCTGTAGCATGCAATGCTGTTTTATAGTATTTTACCCACAGTAGAACTTCTTTCAAAATTGGAGTCAATCTTCTCAAACCCTGTCACTGCTTTATCAACTAAGTTTGTGTAATATTCTAAATCCTTTGCTGTCATTTCAACAATGTTCACAGCATTTTCACCAGGAGCTGATTCCATCTCAAGAAACCACTTTCTGTGCTCATCTGTGAGAAGCAACTCCTCACCCGTTAAAAGTTTTAACGTGAGATTGGAGCAATTCAGTCTCATCTTCAGGCTCCACTTCTAATTCTAGTTCTCTTGCTATTTCCACCACAGCTGCAGTTACTTCCTCCACTGAAGTCTTGAACCTCTCAAAGTCATCCATGAGGGTTGGAATCAACTTCTTCCAAACTCCTGTTAATGTTGATATTTTGACCTCCTCCCGTGAATCACAAATGTTCTTAATGACACCTAGAATGGTGAATCCTTTCCAGGAGGTTTTCAATGTACTTTTCCCAGATCCATCAGAAGGAATCACTAAGTATGACAGCTATAGCCTTACAAAACGTATTTCTTAAATAGTGAGAGTTGACAGTCGAAATTGCTCCTTGATCTATGGGATTCAGAATGGATGTTGTGTTAGCAGGCATGAAAACAACATTAATCTCCTTGTACATTTCCATCAGAGCTCTTGGGTGACCAGGTGTATTGTCAATGAGCAGTAATATTTTGAAATGAATCTTTTTTCTGAGAAGTAGATTTCAACAGTGGGTTTAAAATATTCAGTAAACCATGTCGTAAACAGATGTGCTGTCATCCAGGCTTTGCTGTTGCACTTACAGAGCACAGGCAGAGTAGATCTAGCATAATTCTTACGGGTCCTAGGATTTTCAGAACGGTAAATGAGCATAGGCTTTAATTTAAAGTCACCAGCTGCATTAGCCCCTAACAAGACAGTCAGCCTGTCGGTTGAAGCTCTGAAGTCAGGCATGACTTCTCTCTAGCTGTGAAAGTCCTAGATGGCATCTTCCTCCAACATAAGGCTGTTTTGTCTACACTGAAAATCTGTTGTTTAGTGTGGCCACCTTCATCAATTATCTTAGCTAGATATTCTGGATGACTTGCTGCATCTTCTACATCAGCACTTGCTGCTTCACCTTGCACTTCTCTGTTACAGAAATGGCTTATCTCCTTAAACCTCACGAACCACCTCTGCTGGCTTCAAACTTTTCTTCGGCAGCTTCCTCACCTCTCTCAGCCTTCATAGAATTGAAGGGAGTTAGGGCCTTGCTCTGGATTAGGCTTTGGCTTAAGGGAATGTTGTTGCTGGTTTGCTCTTCTGTCCAGACCACTAAAGCTTTCTCCACATCAGCAATAAGGCTGTTTCGCTTTCTTATCATTTGTGTATTCACTGGAGCAGCACTTCTAATTTCCTTCAAGAACTTTTCCTTTGCATTCACAACTTGGCTAACTGTTCCGCACGAGAAGCCTAGCTTTCGGCCTGTGTCGGCTTTCAACATGCCTTCCTCACTGAGCTTAATCATTTCTAGCTTCTGATTTAAAGCGAGAGACCTACTCTTCCTTTCACTTGAACACTCAGAGGCCACTGTAGGGTTACCAACTGGCCTAATTTCAATATTGTCATGTCTCAGGGAATAGGAAAGCCCCAGGAGAGGGAGAGAGGCGGGGAAGGGAGCAGTCAGAAGACACACATTTATCGATCAAGTTCACCCTCTTCCATGGATGTGGTTAGCGGTGCCCCAAAACCATTACAATAGTAATATCAAAGATCACTGACCACAGATCACCATAACAGATACTATAATAATAAAGTTTGAAATATTCCGAGAATTACCCAAATGTGACACAGAGACGGAAGTGAGCACATGCTGTTGGGAAAACAGCACCGACAGACTTGCTGGATGCAGGGTTGCCACAAATCTTCAATTTATAAAACAAGCAGTATCTGCAAAGCGCAATAAAGACAAGCGCAATAAAACAAACTATGCCTGTGTTCTAATCCAGCTCCATATACAGACACACACTGAACAGTAGCTAACCAGAATGCCTTTCAGCCGGCCCAGAGGCTGTGAACGGTTTAACCAGCACGTGACTAACGTGTCTTGTAACGTTAGTACTATCGCAGGGCCCCTGAGGGTAGAGAACACACAGAAAAAGGCTTCTGCCCATACTGAGGTCCAATCTGTGCTGTACTTCCTCCCTTCGCACCACAAAAATCCGCTGCTGCCATCCCTCCCTCCCCCCGGAAGCAATTTGCCATAATCCAGAACCACACGCGGCGCGCAGGGCGGCTCGAACAGAAGTTTCTCCTGCCATTAGGCCCCCTCGCCGGAAACCTCCCGCCTTCGGCCCGGGGAAAGAGGAAGGGGCGGGGGCCGCGCGAGCGCGGGGCGCGGGCGGCGCTGCAGAGCGCGGAGGATGCACGCGGGGTTCCTGGGGTTCTCCGCCCTGCTGCTGGCGGCCGAGCAGAGCGCGCGTGAGTCCGGGCACGGCTCGAGGTGTGGGGGCGCGAGTCCCTGCTCACCTCTCCGACATTAACACCCCATGCTCCGGCGCCCAGGGGCGCAAACGCCATCCCTGGCCCGAGCACGCAGCCTCCCCAATCCTGTGCCTGAGAGATGATAGCACGCAGACCAGCTTGCCAAGCATGCCTGCCGGCTACTTGGTGGATCCCCACGAATGCATGATCCCCACGCGGTGCCAGCCCTAGCCCCCCGAGACTGAGGAACGTTCTTCACGCTCTGCCTTCCAGAAAACCCTCCTGAGCTTGCTTAGCAAAGGGCTGCAGGTGCAAGACTTGCTGAGCACGGGACTGGGGTGCACCTCTGGCTATCCTCTCCCTCCCAGCCGGCGAGGCTCAGTAGTGTGGAAGGGCCGCGGTGGTCCTTCCTGACCTGCCGCTTTGGGGTCGGGGGGACGGGGAGAACGGACGTTACTAATCAGCCGCGGCTCTGGAGGAGATGACTGGCGCGTCGGAGTTTAAAATAGGGCAGGAAGCTCTTTGCTGGGAGACACCCCTGTCTCGCGTGGGGACCAGTCCCAGAAAGCGGAAGCGAAGCAAGATGGCAACAGTTTTTAGCGCCCTTCTAGTTTGAACTTGTTTCTTTCAGTGCCCGAGAGGGGTGCCTCCGCCCACTTCCGCCAGGCTTCCTGCCAACTTGTCTTCCGAAGCGGGGTTGGCCATTGGCCAGGGGAGTTGAGGGAGGTACTTTCAGAAAGCTCCAGCATCAAGGACGCCCAGGGCTCTGTGCCGCTCTCCCCAACGCGCACGCACTTGAGGACCCCAGCGGGGCTCCTTGGAGCAACTTCCGCCTCTCCAGGGTTAACTGTGTTCGTTGTTCACACGACTGTCCCCTCCAGTTCCCCGCCGCGCTTTTTCAAGGACTGGAAGGGCAGCGTTGGCATTACCCACACAGAAGGAGGAGCTGGTGTTAAATTAGTTGTAAAGCTCTCCTGGGTATATCACCTGGGTCGGGAAGGGCTAAGACGCCTACCTCTGGTGCGTCTCTCGCACGATAGCCTCTCCTTCCCTTCCAGCCAGGGCAGCCCTGTCTTTAACATTCCTCAGCCTGTTCAGAGGTGGTTACTTCCCCAGAGGCTTTCCTGTGTAAGTGAAGCCCTAGTTTGTTTTAAGTGTGTGGCGGGAAGCTCGAGGTGGTTGGCGCTGGGTAAGAAACCTTGGGACCAAGAAATGGCTGTTCAAAAGCTCTGACTCTCTCTACTCAGAGCGGTAGGGTTTTTATCTGTGTCGTTGGGATAATGCTCTCCGTTTACGCTAAAATTCACAGTTCGTGCCCAGCATCCATTTTTAAACGTTAATATCAGAAAAACACAAAAAATATACTATTATAAAACAGTCACTGTGTATTCATGTGCCAGCGAGTGGTGGGCAAGACACAAAACATCAGTCTCTATTGTCATTCTTGTAACAATCCCCAGAAGTAGATGGTACCACCATTTTATTGTTCCTAAGGCCCAAAGTTACACAGACAATAAGGTCCCCCTTTTGAAAAATAGAGAGAAAATACCTACCTCAAAGAAAGAACTGTGCTAATACATGTCAAGCACATAGCACAGATGCTGGCATGTAGTAACAGCTCAATATAGTTATTGACTGGGGAGTGCAAATCCTAAACTAATTTGTCTCTTTCCATTCCATTTCTCTGCCTTACCATCATCAAGCCACCAGTTGTCTGTCGGTTGTACTACAATGACTTGTGCGTTGCTCTAATGCTGGAAGCTATGCCACCAGTATTTCAAATACCAGCAGGATCACCTATGATAAACAGGTTTTAGCGGAGCTTGCAGGCTAAGACAGACTAGGAAGAAAGGCCTGGCGATCTACTTCAGAAAATTAGCCAATGAAAACGGTATGGATCACAACAAAATAGTGCCCAATATAGACAAGTCCTTAGGAAAGACCATTCGTTAGTAAAAGACATGTTTGGTAGAGGGCCAATGAAACCAGGGAAAACCAATGAAATGGATGGACATAATAGCTGCGAAAATGAATCCAAATATACCAGCAAGCACAGAAATGGCACAGGACGGGGCACTGTCTTGTTCTGTTATACATAAGGTTGCCATGAGTCGGAGCCGATGGCAGCTAACAAGAAAAACCCAAACCCGTTGCCAGTGAGTTGATTCCGACCCATAGCGACCCAATAGGACAGAGTAGGGTTTCCAAGGCTATAAATTTTGGGGGAAGCAGACTGCCACATCTTTCTCCGCTGAGCAGCTGCTGAGTTCAAATCCCTGACCACCTGGTTAGCAGCTGAATGCTTAACCACTGTGTCACCAGGGCTCCTTAGAGCAATGCCATTATCATCAAAAATAAAAGAGTCCCAGGAGAGTAGGCTTAACATTTTTGAGCACATTCTAGGTTCTAGATGACTTGCCATATTTTGTTGTAATATCTGACAGCCCCTTTTTATGGACCGTGGTGTCTCATCTTTTGAGTGTCCTGGGACGCCCTAGAGCTTTCATTAAACTTCTTGAGTGTAGATTTCCAGCTGGCTCCTGCTGACTCAGGTGCTGCACTTAGCAGACATCCCTGCTGGCGGTAGGGACTTAGTATTGGTTAACCTTCCAATACCCCGGCTCATCTATCCTTTTTGTCCTCCAGGCCTCTGCACCATGGTTTATTACTTCATGACAGGACAGCTTCTTTGGGCATCACTGGCCTTCTCTGTCCTACTGCCCGGCTTCTTGGTCCAGGGCCTGAGTTATCTATGGTTTCGAGCAGACGGACATCAAGGCCATTGCTCTTTGGTGATTGTGCACCTCCTACAACTTGGTGTTTGGAAACGGTAAGAACGGGCGGCACCCCTTCACCTCCGAGTCCCGAAGATTGTGTTGGGAAGCGTGGTTTCATAAGTGCGTAGAAGGGTTCTTCTGTGTGTATGTTTATCCTTAGAGACGTGAAAGTTCAGAGCTGGGAGAATGTCAGAAGTTACCACATTTAAGCTCTGCTCTGATATCTGCATCCTCTCTTCCAGCCTGTACTTCCCTGAGCATCTCTAACATCATAGAGTTTCTTCCAGACGCAGCTGTGACCTTTAGGAGGCTCTTTCTTGTCTGCAGCCAAATTCTGTCTTCCTGCTGTTCAGATTCGTTGGTCGACTTCAGAGCCGTACGAGGCGACTCACTTAAGGCAGTTCCATTTAAACACCTGTGACCTTAGTTAAGGAAGGTAGAAGGAAGATTTAACCTCAGACTAGACAGTGGTGTTGGCCTGGTCACATTTGCAACTAGCCTTTGTTATGGGAAGAAGCCATTTTGGATCCAATACCGGTTTTTTCCACAAAAAGAAGACAGGGATGGTCCTAGTCATTATTTTTACTTGGAATACCCTGGATACAAGGAGTGTCAGGAGAGATGTGGCAGTGAGTTTACATAAATGGCAAACTTCAGCTCTCAGCTGCCTCATAATCCCAGAGAGTTCATAGGAACAAAAGAAGAGAGAGAAATTCAGGGATCAGATCAGTGAGGCCTTACAGCTCAAGTGTTCACTAGACGCTGAGGACCGCCAGGTATTCAGGAAGTCCTTGCCAGGTTTCAGATCTCTGGGCTGTGCTGCCCTCTCTTCTTGATGGTTGATGCCTTCAGGCTAGTCCCAGTACCTTTGTAGGAGCTGAGATGAGTTTTCTGATTTCTCTTCTGGGTTTGAGGTGTGGGCCCTATGTACAGAATCAGTCTCAAGAAAGGATAATTCCCTTCCCACCCAGAGGAGATCTCAGGTAGGAGGTGGCAAATGTGGCTGATAAAGAAATCAAGAAGCCACCCCTGAATTTCATTTGGCCCCTCAGAGTTGGAACCCTAGATCTTTAAGGGCACCAAAACCACACTTGGAATCGCAGCAGTTTGTCCCGAGCTGGGCCTTGTGTTCAAGCAGTTTGGGTTCCTCTGAAAAGATAGGACTCTTAATGCTGGGTAGGGAGCAAAGAAATGCCTTTTCAGTGGACTCATAAAGGATTAGAGCCCATCATCTGGCCTCTACTGAGCATTACCTACCATTTTCATATCAGCCCTCCACTCAGCCCAGCATAATAATAAAACAATTGAGACTGTGGGTCTTTGTTTGCTTTTGAAGTTCCCTGCAGGGAACAGCTAGTGCATTGTAGTTCACAAAGTATGTGACCTCGAGGAAAGACAGCCTGTTGAAATAGTGAATTTACTTTAGGCATACATCTCACAACTCCAAAAAAGAGTTGAGTAAATATCAATCACTTGAGAGATGCATGCTTAGTAACTGTCAGAAACATTTGCCTTCCGAGGCTCTGTGAGGAACCTCAGGCCCGTCTCATCCAGCGTCTTGCTGTAGAGATGAAGAGTGAGGTCCATAAGCAATGACTTGTCTAAATTTATACGGCTGGTGTTTGACAGTGGACCCAGGATTTTCTTCCCCATTCTCCTTCAAAGCCTTCTTTATTATGCCATAATTTTCTGGTATATATAAAAAAATTGGATAAGTGAAGAGGGACATGAGAATTAAAAATTAGGGAAAAAACTAGTCATCTATATCTGTTCTTATTTTAAAAAAATAAGGTGACTGAAAAATATGCATGCAATTTAAAAGGAAGATAAGTAACTGAGAAAAGCCAAGGAAAGAAACAAAAATGGTTACAAAACAAGATAAAGCCAGAATGGACACTTAATAGAGGTAGAATACAAATTTGGCTCTAAGTTTTCTAACAGCCGGTGCAAATAGGGAAACATAAGAAGCTACGATATTTGCAATGTTTATGAGATTAAAAATAAACAAAACAAAACAAAATCTGCTTCCTTAAGGGCAGAAGCAGCTTTGAAAGTTAAGCTAGAAAGCAGCGTTATCTCCTCCTCATCCTCAAACCGGCGCAGTGGTTTCTCACAAAGAAACACTGGGTAACGTAGTGAACAGCGTCTTCACCGGTTGTCCTTAGAGAAGATCTACAATAAGTCTGGAAAGACTTGTTTCTCTTCATGAGGAGCCCTGGTGGCGCAGTGGTTAAGCACTTGGCTGCTAACGGGTAGGCCAGCGGCCTGCCAGCTGCTTTGCAAGACAGATATGGCAGTCTGCTTCCGTGAAGATTTACGGCCTTGGAAATCCTCTGGGTCAGTTTTTCTCTGTCCTTTAGGGTCACTATGAATCAAAATCGACTCCATGGCCAGGAGTTTTTGTTTTTGTTTTATTTATCTTTGTGTCCCTCATGGTAGCGGCAGCATTTCAGCAAATTGCAGTTCAGGAAAAGCGCCTGTAGGAGGAGCCAAATAGTTGTGTTTTGCAGAGCCCTGACTTGTGGCAGAATGGACTGCTTTGACTTCATAACATGACTCGGAAGATGCTACTAACAGAAAAAAACTATAAAATACAAACCTTTTGAGGTAAAGTAGCTTATAAAAAATTCAGGGACTTAATTCATAAATGTATTTTTTAAATTCCAAATAATACGTTCTATATTACTGTATTGATTTGAATCTGACTGTAGTCAAAAGAATCTGACATTAGTTACTACTTGCTTAAGCAAAGTCAGTTACTTTTTTTCTCTTTGATTTTTATGTCTGCACTCTAATGTTATATGTTAGAACATCTTTGTAATTTGTTTTTTTAAGTCTGTAAATCCATTTGGAAACCCAGTATGAGGTGATAGAAAAACACCTAACTAATCTCATCCTCAGCATTATCTGAGTTTAAAGGAGAAGTTAAATAGTTACTTAAAAGGAAAGTTGAGGTGATGTTTAAAAGTGTGTAAAATAAGCCCAGCCTAGACGGGTATAACCTGTTGCCATCAAGTTGTTTCCAACTCATAGTAACCCAATAGGAAAGAGTAGAACAGCTCTGTAGGGTTTCCAAGGAGTGGCTGGTGGATTCAAACTGCCGACCTTTTGGTTGACAGCCAAACTCTTAACCACTGTGCCACCAGGGCATAGATTTAATATCAAAACCGCAATGAGATACCATTTCACTCCCACTAGGATGGCTAAGATAAAAAATAAAACAGAAAATAACAAATGTTGATGAGGATGTGGGGAAAATGGAGCCCTTATTCCAATACAGCCACAGCCCAAATCTTGAGCTGCTTGCTAACTCAGCTCTAACATCACCAACAAGTGTTAAAATGGTAGAAGAATCTAGTGTTCTTCAAGTTGTGGGCCTATAATAAACTATTATATTTGTAGTGGTTATGTTTGGATTTTTACTTAAGCTATTAATGAAGAAAAAGCTTACTGAGAAACTTAATTCCAAAGATCTAATTTTGGTTAATTGAACCTGTCTCCAAGCTTCAATTTATAGTATATGGAGTTCTTAATGCAGCTAGAAAGCTTAAACTGTCATTGACACAGCTCAATATGCTCATATTTACTTGTTTACAGTTAGTAAACTTCTCTGTGGCAGAAGGGACTGCAGATACACATGATTAAGTTGCAGTCTCTGAGACTGAATTGAGAAGAAAACTGTAAGCAGTGAGATCAGGACAAAAAGAATGATACACAAAGTGTTGTAAGAGTACAGAGGAGTACCTTTGGGAATAACTGCGGATATGTGGCCCCTGGACCAGCATCATCATTATCATCACCTGGGAGCTTGTTAAAAATGCAAATTCTCAAGCCCTATTCCTGACCTATATCCCATTACAACAAACTTCTCATAATTCTCTAAACACACCTGTTTAATTGGAAACTCTGGAATCAGGGCCCAGCAATCTGTATTTAAATAGCCATCCAAAAAAAGAAGTAAAAGGCATCCAGATTGGAAAAGAAGAAATAAAATTATCTCTGTTTGTGGATGACATGTTCCTAAATACAGAAAATCCCAAAGAGTCTGCAAAAAAGACTTCTAGAGCTCTTGTCGCGGAGTGCCTGAGCAGAGGAGCGTTTGCCATGGTACCTGCTGCTACTGCAGACATGGAGCGTCGGACGCGGGCGCTGTTCCTTGTGGCAGGAAGGTGAAGTCATGACGTCCATCAGGCGTGTGAGTCAGATATTTTCCATGTTAATCACTTTTTATGTGGACTGAGTTCCAGTTGCCCATCTTGCTGTTTACTACTGAGTGGAGAAACACCAAGTCTAAAGAGTCTGCTGTTTAGCAAGTGACAGCAAAATGTGTTTTTTGTAATCATTTGGATTCCTATACACCAATAAGGAGAACGATGAAAAGGAAATCAGGAAAACAATACCATTTTCAATAGCCCCTAAAAAGATAAAATACTTAGGAA